ATCAGTACAAAAATTACATATGATAGATGAATATATCTCTTTAATAATATAGTTTTTAAAATATTTATATTTATTCTGATACATTACATCTCCACATAAGCATTCTACATTCATATTCTAGATAAATATTTATATAAATATATATTTATATATATATTATCTATCTGGCAAATTTTCTCAAATAGTCTCAATAAGGACTATTATTTTTTCTTTTTATTGAGTTTATTGGTACATTTTAGGTATATAATACATTCATTATTGGGATCTTGTACCTTCACATGACAGGTCTTGGTTCTCATTTTTTCCCCTTGTCCCTGCCCTCCCTTCACCCCCTCCTCCCCTCCCTATTTACAGACACTTTATTTCCATTTTTTTCATTTTCTCCTATTTTTTTCCTTTCCCTCATTCCCTTTCCCCTACCCTTCCTACTTTCCCTACACTTTTAGCCCTTTATTAAAAAGATAACAGTACTTTGAGTATCTATATGTATTGAATTTTTAGATTATTTTAACTTAAAATGGTTCTTCCTTTCAAATTTTAAAAACAGAATATAATAATAAAGACTAATATTGAAAAAATCATGTAAAATTACCCTATTTTTACTCAGACTATTTTATCATAGTTTACTTGAAATTTAAAATAATTATATAAAATCTACGTTTACTCAGCTTCCTTTACCATAATTTCCTAAGAAAATCCACAATTTTTCAAATGAAATATACATCATGAATGGAGAAGAGAAACTTTCTCTTAATTTCCTTCTTTTGTAAATGATATTTGATGATAGATTAGTAGCCTCACCTACTAACAACCTATTTTTAAATGATATAGAGCTAATTATAGTAATTGGTATATGAGTAATTCCTTTTCAAATATATAAATGTCATGGGCTCGGGATTTGGCTCAGTGGTTCCGCCATCTGCCTCGCAAGCACAAGGACCAGAGTTTGATACCCAGTATTAAAAAAATAATTAAATGTCATATTTTAGCACTAAAGTGTGACATTTTAAAGGTGGGCAGCTTTATTCAAATATTTCTATTTGCTAAATTATATTTTCACTATGTATACAAAATAAGACTTCATTCACTCCATTGAATTTTATGGATTAAGTTTATACATTTTTCATATATGAATCCGGGCTTCCTTTTTCTGGAATCAGAACTAATCTGTGGTGTAGTGTGGAGTTTTACAATGCAAACAAAATTAACAAGGCCAAGAAAGATTCTCTACAATCTGCTATTTACTCAGTCAATCCATATTGTGAACTGTGGAGTCTTAGCAGTACACAGGTTGACTAAGATTTTGTATTTCTTACATATTTAGAAAAGTTTTCCTCCATGAAATATTGTGTTGTACCTATACTGCATGTTTTTTCTTCTGAATAGTGACTAAACTCAAATACTGGCATTAGAATAAATTATATCTTATTATAAATGTATCTGAACACCATGTATATATTCAGCAAGCTATCAGTCATACAATAAAATGAGTTTAATATTAATTTCTAGTTTTATTTAGCTGAAAATAGTTTATAATACTTAATCAGTACAGGAAATTATCTCCATTCTGGATTATGTTTTACCCTATTCTTTCATATGTGCCTTTGAGTCTTCATGCTCTGCGCAGTTTTAATTTTTTATGGAGAGCTATTACCACACACATTTATCCATGTTTATCTAATGGCAGTATTTAAAGCATGTTTCAGGGGTCACATATTTCTGGTTTACTCCTTGTATAACATCTTCCTGTTCTGACAGCTGATGTCACTTAGAATAGGTTTCATATGATTGCCCTAAGAAAACTACAAGAACAAGAAGCAATTTAAATATGTTCAGGGACCATTTTCATCTTCAGAATTAAGGATTATTTTAATCTTATATCATTGCCTTTTCTCTTTTACTTTCCTTTTCAGTTTTGTTTTAGGATTCCCTATTTTTAATGTTCATACAAAGATTTCTTTAACTGAAATACTGAATAGTTTCTCTGGTGTGAAATATTATAATACTACACAGGATCCGAATGAGATAATTAATAACGTGAAATAGGAAGTAAAGGGCTAAAGGTGTAGGGAAAGTGGGAAGGGTGGGGGAAAGGTAATAAGGGAGAGAAAAAGATATGAGAAATTGAAAAAATGGAAAGAAAGTGTTTGTAAATGGGGAGGGGAGGAGGGGGTGAAGGGAGGGCAGGGACAAGGGGAAAAAATGAGAATCAAGACCCATTATGTAAAGGTACAGAATCCCAATGATGAATGTAACTGTACTGTATACCTAGATTGTACCAATAAACTCAATAAAAAGAAAAAAAAAGAAAACACCCCAAACTAGGATGCTGCTGCAACAGAAATGTGTGTCCCTGCTGTGAAGGACGGAAGCCCCAAATTATGATTTCATTATAACCTTATCTCCTGGGACAATGGATGGAAACCATCCCTGAAGCTTCTTAGATTTTGGTGATGATCATCAGTCCATAGGGTAATTAACTGCATTGTTTTTATTTCTGCCTGTGTCACAATAATGACCTTTTTCCTCTATGTGTTTAAGCTACTACTTCTGAAAAAGGCATCAATCTTAGTGGATTAGCATCCATCCTGAGTATAAATTTATTTCAACTTTATTACTTTTGTAAAGTCCATATTTCCAAATAGACTCACAGGTATAGGTGCTGGGAAGTGGAACTTCCTAAAATATCTTTTAGGATGTGACAATATAATACTTAATAATTAGTTATTAAAGAAACGGCCCTTGTTGCACTCGGTTCTATCTCTTTGAAGCACAGAAGACTACTGTGCATCTTCCTTTTGCTTTTCATTCACTGAACTGTTTCCTGATCTGAGAACAATGTGAGGATGCTGCCTTCCACCCTTACTGTCTTATCCTGAGATTTGGACTCTCACAGACTTGGAAATATCTCCTTCACTATGCCCAATCACAGATTGATTATATTATTTTTAAAGTCCACAGCAAGGAAAAAATTCTTCAGACTTGGAGACAGAAAATTGTTAAAGATTTCCACATGCTGTTTTTTTTTCTTTAAAAGAAACACATAAACACTAGCAACTTACCATCACTGGTTCTGTTTTTCAGATCTTTAGCATAATATCAAAAAATTCCAGACTCAACAGACCCTGCTCATTAGCCTAAACTGGAATTTTCTTTGTTCAGAAAATCCTAATTCTATGACACCTAAAAATATTCTTCATTTACCAACTAGTTAAATTTATGTTGAATTTTCATTTTTATTAATACAAATTTGTAAAGAATATTTTTGAAAGAGAATTTTTGCCAACTTTTCAACAAATCCCTTGTTTTCTAATATTTTGTAACTAGTTATATTTTTATGGTTCAATCCCAGTTTTTTTCCTTCATGTCTTTCAGGTTCACTAAAACTCAAATCTTTTGTTTAATATTCAATGTCTTTACTGTAATCTTAATGACAATTTTGTATTCCATGATTTTCTAATTGTTATTTTATTATATTTCTCTATGATTGTTCCTTGCTAAATTTCTCTATTTTGTCAGCTTTCTCTTTAATATATTAAGTACTGTTCATTTTTAACATAGTGCATGATGCCTTTAAAACTGAATCACGTGTCTGTTTCATCTTAGTCATAATTCTTGATAATTTTGATGAAATAGAATAAATTTCTCCTAAGAATTTTAAATGTTCTATATGATGACAACTCACCCCTAGATAATATAATTTTAATTCTGCTAGAGTTAGAAGATTGCCTTATTCTTTAATCTGGTTTTAGATGGAGATGCTCGCATCCTAGGATCTTATCTAGTTCCTCACTCTGATGGTTTAACATGCACAGCACAGGGGAAAACTCTTCAGAAGAAGTAGCCTTCTTTGGAGAAAATGGGAAATCGGTCCTGGTAATATTATCTCAGAGTAGCCCATTTCCTAGGGCACCATGGAAAACACAAATGTGCTCTCTTAAGCATACCTTTTCCCCAATTTGGGGAGGACCAGACTCACTTCACACCCTTTTTATATGTAAAATGCCTTAGCTTCAAAAAACAAAACAAAAAAAAGGAGTCCAGGCCTCCTTGAGAGCTCACAGTTCTTTTGTGATGTACAGCATGGGAGGCCAGTGTCTCAAGAGGGATTTTATCTACTTGTGTTCTTTGTAGTGCTTGGAATGCTCCTTAGTCACCACTGCCAGAAGCTTCCAGACTTTCTCACCTGTGAAGTGTGGAGAGGAGAAGGGCAGTTTAGTGTGTGTTCTGGTCCCACCTGATGATTATTAAATATCAGTGCATTATTAAAAAAAAAATCCCTCATAAAATCCTGGAACATCTATAGGTCTCTCGTTCCTGAAGACCCCTGAAATCTAATGTGGTTTCCTTACCTTCTTTAGCTTAGTCTAGTTACTCTTGGTGATACTTTCTTTTATAAAACTTGGTTCACTATGGCTAGAAGTAAAAGTCTAACTCAAACTATAAGTATTCCTAAATTCCTATTCATCATTTAGCATTTAAGCAAAAATTTATCTATTACACGAAATAGTTCAGATGTACCCTATTCTCGAATTTCAAAGTTTAATATTGCGAGCTAATAGATATGTATTTCAGTCCATAGTTTAATAGTTTTCTAATTAATGGAGTTTACATCTGCATTATCATACCTAGAATGTAAATTGTAAGAATAGAGGGATTATACGTGTCAATTTTCTTATCCTATTATCTCCACTACCTCACATATAGCAGACACTCACCAAAGACATTTAGGTACTGAATACATAAAGATGTATGACAGACATAAATAATTAGAAAAACATAAAATTCAACTAAGTGTGACCTAAGTTTTACATACCAATGAATTTTAAAGGAAGTTAAAGTTTATGGGGAAATTTCAGAAGTTAAAATGCAAATATATCTAAATTTTATGAGCTAATTTTTCTATCAATATTATTAAAATCCAAGTACATACCATAGTTGCTGCAATTTAAAAAAAAATTTAAGGAAACATGGCATGTTTCTGAAAAGACTTCAATGTTGTTCTCACGTTAGCAGCACATATACTAAAATTGGAACCATACAGAAAACATTAGCATGGTCCCTGCTCAACGATGACACACAAATTTTTGAAGCATTCCATATTTTTAAAAAGCATCCTCACTGCAAGCGAAACCACCAACAGGGCTAAGAGACAACCTACAATGTGGGGAAAAAAAAATTTACTAGCTGCTCCTCAGATAAAGGTCTACTACCCAGAATATATAAAGAACTCAAAAAAATCAGACCGCCCCAATTATAAAGACCCAATCCAAACATGGACATCTGAAATGAACAGACATTTCTCAGACAAAGTGAAAGCAGCAAATAAGTACATGAAAAAATGTTCAACATCACTGGGCATTTGAGAGATGCAGATGGACAAAGGGCTAAGATTCCGCCTTACCCCACAAAGAATGGCTGCTGTCCAGAAATCAATAAATAACAAATGCTGGCAGGTTGTGGGGAGAAAGGAACCCTTCTTCATTATTGGTGGGTGTGCAGACTGGTACAATCACTGTGGAAATCAACATGGAGATACCTAAACAAACTAGGATTAGAAGTCCCATTTGACCCAGCTATCCTTCTACTGGGTATCTTTCCAAAAGAATTGAAAGAATCATACAACAGCTATATTTGCTCACCCATGTTTACAAGTTGCACAGTTCATAATAGCTAAAACTTGGAAAAAGCCCAAATGACCATCAGTTGGAGACTGGATAAAGAAGACCTGTTTTTTTAGCACTACTCAGCCATAAAGAATGAGAAACTATAGTCATTCATAGGAAAATGGATACTTGCTCTTAAGTTAAATAACTAGGACACACATGTGTAAATAGTTTCTCTGGTGTGAATAGTTTCTCTAGTGTGATTAACTAAAAGTGTAAATACATTTCAAATTGTATGCTTGATAAGGTAAAATAGGAAGAAAGGGGCTAAAGGAGTAGGGGAAGTGGGAAGGGTAGGGGAAAGGAAAGAAATGAAAAACTATGAGAAAAGGAAAAAATGGAAACAATGTCTTTGTAAATAGGGAAAGGGTGAAGGGACTATAGGGAGGGCAGAGGAATGGGGGAAAATAATCAAGATACATCATGTAAAGATACAAGATCTCAATGATGAGTGTAACTGTACTGTGTACCTAAAAAGTACCAATAAATTTAATAAAAAAGATTTATTTTTCCAAAAATGCTACTTAAAAGTTCATGTGTGAAAAACTACTGAAAATAGCTAATTTATAAGTATTGTTTTGTAAAACTGATGACATAAAGACAAAGGAAATAAATTTCATTAAAATATTAAAATTTAAAACAACACTCATCTGTAAGACTTAATAGCAGAACATTTTGCAAATATTCTCTTAAAAATAAAATACAAAAATTATCATCCTAAATTATCTATTGCATAAAAAGTATTAATTCCCTGGTAAATTCTCATATTTGAGATGTAGCCTACATATTTGTAATAGGTTACTACATCTCTTAAACTAATTTTTCCATTTTATTACTTTTCTTTTTATACTTTAATATCTGATCATCAATCTCTAAAGCCTTGTATTGCATTGTGTCAACTACTGCAAATTACTCAAGTGGAAAAAAAAGTATAAGCACACTGACCTAATATATTTCTCTAGTTGTAGAGGTTTTTCTAAAAAAATTCAAGTCAGAACTGAACAGAGCAATGTTACAATAACAACACACTTCCTATTAGCAACAAAAAAGTAATAACAAATGTTAAAATAATATCCCATATAGCTAAGAAAAATATTTTATTATTAGTGAAATATCAGAAATAAAATAAAGCTAGTTTTCTTAAAAGGGTATGATTATTTAATCCATTCACTGAGTTTAATTTCAGAAGCATTATAGCACATACTTATACTTTCTAAAAAAGTAAATGATTTTGGTGCAAATAGCAATTCAGCTGGTACCACACAGTTTTTTTGTTTAAATTCTGACTACACTAATCATGTGCTGGAGCTTACTGTCTTGTTTTCATAGGTGTAATATGCTGCTGACATCATCTACCTGTGAGATAACTGAAGTCACACACCTGTTAAGTACCTTTCAGAGTTCCTTAGACATCAAAGAGTCTTTTATTCTATTGTGTCGATATTGTTACATACTCTCTCTGTTGTATCATTTGGATTCACTTTAGTGTTCACCTTGTAATCATCAGATTATATCCATATATAAAATATTTCCTACAAAATTTAGAATGTATTGTTTTCCTGTTTCAAAATAATATTAAAATATTATATAGTATTATAAATTTCAAGTGAAATATTTCATTTAACAAGTGTTATAACAGCATTTTTGGGAGTGGGTACTGGGGATTGAACTCAGGACCTTTTGCTTGTGAGGCATGCATGGTGCCACTTAACTAAATCCCCAGCCCTATAACAGCCTTTTTGACCAAGAATACATTATAATGGTGTGATGTGACTGAGACTGTGTATCAGTGTCTAAGCCTCTTGATGTCTCCAGAACATGTTGAAGAACATGCTCAGTTCAGTGTAACTTTCAGAGCTTCAGAAAACTATACATGCTCATATATAGCCCTGTCTTAAACATAAGAATGAGAAATGTAATTCAATCACACAGTTCCAACAGAGAAAATTTTACAAAGCTAAATCTAAAATCTATCTCCTTTATTATGACCCATTATTACAATTAACCTGTCTAGAATTTTATGAAATCTAAAAAATGGACAAAGCATTTATAAAACAGTGGGTATATTATAAAATACAGAGATTCCTTTTGGACTTGAAAATATTTTCAGACAACATATCAAATGAAGGGTTAATTTGCAAAATAGAAGGAACTCCTACAACTCAATTGGGAGTCAGGATACAACAGCAGCTTTGTTAACTCAGTGCAACTTCATAAGGCCTTCAGAGTGAGAAGAGCATTGGTCTTTCTTTCTCAGGTTTTCCTGATGAGGACTTTCTCATGGATGGGAGAGACTGCACTACATACATCAGAGTGGTCACATCTATCTGATCTGGCCACCAGCGCAAGCTTTCCCTTCAGGTTCATGATGGAAATTAGCACTAAATTTAGAGAGAAAGACTGGACATGTACTGTTGCCCAGGTGTCAGAAATAAATTTATTAAAAAAAATAAAAGCTACATCCAAAGGCAATTCAAGATGTAGATGCAGATACTGATGCCGATGCAAATATGTCGATATAGATATAGATATCAATCAGGAGTTTCTGGCTTCTTTCTTTTTCCTTCTGTTGCATTAACGCAATCTCCGTTAGTAATCTCAACATCACTTGGAATCAGGATTCGTAGAAAAAGGGATGGGATAAAGGGTAAAGATGAGAAAATTAAATAAATTTTAACTTTAGAGAGAAATTAAGCTATCCTTTGCATGGAACCATATTCTACACATTCTCCTAGCTAAACATAAGCACTTAACTTCTTTAATAAGTAAGCAGAAATATATGTCTATAACTGTTTTTATTTGCAATTTAAAATTGCTGCTCTTGGAAGGAGGTTTAACGAGGTCACATTTGCTCTCCTTTGGGTGCGACAGCACGAATCGCCCATCAGCATTTGCTACTGCCTAACTCTGCACTTGCTGTGATCACCGACGTCCATCTTGGATAAAGGGCAGCAGGTACCAATTCAACAGCCTGCATCTGTACGTCACCAAAATGTACTCTGTCAGCTCTCAATTTTCCATATTATCCAAAGTACAAAATGGAGACAATAATTGTCATAGTATAAAATACAATATGGGAACCAGTAAAACAGTTCCTTGGCCTTTAAAAGACACAATTTAAAAGCATTTAAAGCAGGAGAAATATAGGTAAATATGCTTGTAATATCCACAGTATGCTTATATGAACTCCTCAGACTGGATGCTTAAAAAGGCTCATGTGATTTTCAACTGGAATCTAGAATTTCCCAATTTCTCTTAATATCGGAATGTTTCTTTTCTCTAATAAGAAGTCTAAAATTAATAAATGTTAGATTTCAAAAAGCCTGTCACTTGTCATTTTAAAGATACAACTTCTATTATTTGTGCCATCCATGGCAAAATTATAACATTGTATATTAGCGGAACAAAATGTTCACATGGTGTCATAATGGCAAGATTTTCCTCCTTTGAAGATTGAGTGGTATTCCATTGTACTTGTGTATCACCACACATTGTTTATTCATTTGTCCAGAAACATTTAGGTAGTTTCCACAGTTTGACTACTGCAAATAGTACAAGAATCTTTTCAAGATCTTGACTTCAATTCTTGTGCACAAATATTCAAAACTAGGATTGTTGGATTATATAGCAGTTTCATTTTTACTTTTTAAAGGACTCTCTATACTGTTTATGTAGTACCTGTACTGTTTTACATCCCTATTAGCAATGTATGGGCTGGGGATTTAGCTCAGTGGTTCCACTGCCTGCTTTGCAAGCACAAGGTTCTGAGTTTGATCCCTGATACCAAAAAAAAAAAAAAAAAAGAGAGAGAGTGAGAGTATAAAATGTCCATTTCCTCCACATTTTTATGCATACTTTTTCTCTTTTTTAATGCCAGGCATCCTAAAAGTGACATATCATTATGGTTTTTATCTTTTCCCAGATAATTAATAAGAATAAGCACCTTCTCACATTTGTTTTGATTATTTGTATTAGTTTGACCTAAAACAAAAAAAAAAAAAAAAAAAGAGAGAGAGTGAGAGTATAAAATGTCCATTTCCTCCACATTTTTATGCATACTTTTTCTCTTTTTTAATGCCAGGCATCCTAAAAGTGACATATCATTATGGTTTTTATCTTTTCCCAGATAATTAATAAGAATAAGCACCTTCTCACATTTGTTTTGATTATTTGTATGTTTTGTATGTTACCTTTGTACAAATGAGATTTTAGCCTTTTTTTTATTTTTGGTACTGGGAATTAAACTCTGGTCCTTGCGCTTACAAGGTTGATGGCAGAACCACTGAGCTAAATCCCCAGCCTCCCAATTTTTAAATATAAAATTTAGGTTTTTGAAATTTAAGTTTCTATGAAATAATTCTTGAAGAGGCTATTGATACATTTTATTTAAGTAGATTCCACATATAATTTTTGTCTATCATCTAGGAAAATGACCACTTAA